AGTGCCCCGAGGGGGGGGGCAACTATACTGATTATTCAATCGTGGGGCTCAGCAACAACAGCATCAACAACAGCACCACCAGCAACAACACCAACAGCAGCATCAACAGCCAAGGCAACTGCTCTTAGGCACCAGCAGCGACAGCAACACGAACAGCATCCACAACAAGAGCAACACCAACAACAATCAGTTTAAGACTGATCACTCTTTCGTGATCGCGTGCCATTCAACACAGTATGCCCCCCAAACCCTCGATACCCGCCCCCTTTGTGTTCGATCGTACCCCCCTGGGTGGTATATCTTCCTTACCTGCAACGTGTATTTCGTGCACCCCCTGAGACAGGGGAAGACAGGACGGATGGAAGGACGGGGCAAGGGGAAAGGAGGATGACGGAGCACGAGAGAAAATAACAGACGGGGGGCTAGGAGCAGAAAACACGTGGCCGAACCAGACGGGCAGATCGGGCGGATAGGCCCTAACGGGCGGGTCGGGAACGCAAGCCCAAGCGGCCAGGTCGAGCAAACGGGTTGCTGAAGCGTGCGTCCTGCATGAATCGCGAGGAAGTCTCGAGCGACAGCGCGATCTGCAACGGGGCCACGAAGGGCAACAAGGGGGCCACAAAGGAACGGGACGAAGGGTAGCGAGGGGGCCACGAATGGCTGCAACTGGGCCACGACGGGCAGCGAGGGCTGCAACGAAGGGCTGCAACGGGGCCACGGAGGGCAGCGATGGGGGCCACGAAGGGCTGCAAAGGGGCCACGAAGGACAGCGAGGGGGCCACGAAGGGCAGCGAGGGGGCCACGAAAGGCTGCAATGGGGCCACGAAGGGCAGCGAGGGTGCTGCGAAAGGCTGCACCGCGTCTACGAAGGGCAGCGATGGGGGCCACGACGGGCTACAACGGGGCCACGAAGGGCAGCGAGATCCCTATTCCGAAGTAAGCTGTGAGGGAATCCTAAGCGTGAGCGCGACTCCTGGGCACCTGAGTGTCGGGAGCGCGGCGCTTGAGTACATTGCGGGGAATTCCCACATAAGAACGCGATTCTTGAGTACATTGCAGGCAAGTCTCCAGCGACTCCAGAGCGCCGAGAGAGCGATTCCTGAATAAGTTGTACGGAAGTCCCAAGCGAGAGCGCGGCTTCTGCGTAAAATGCGAAAAGATCTCAGGCGGGAGCGGGGGTCCTGGCTAAATTGTGAGGAAGTCTCAGGAGCCGCTGTTGTACTCCAGTGGCCAACAACGCAGTTTGACCCGAGTGACATTCTCCTATTAAAGAAACGTGCGAGCCCCGGGGGAAGCACTTCAATTGAAAAACACACTGGTCACCAGAGGGGGGGATCAACAACAATTATTCTTCACTAGTGAGAGTTCAAGACCAGCAGCAGCAACAATAATCATTTTGAGACTGTTCTCTCCTACCTGCTCGTGTGCCATTCAACACGTATGTTCCCAACCCTGGGTACCCTCCCTCTTCGTCTCCAGGTCTTCGATCGTACCCCCTTGGGGGCATATCTGCCTTACCTGCTGCGGGTAATTGGTGCAGCCCCTGAAACAAGGGAAGAGAGGATGGATGGAAGGGGTAGGGAGAAGGATGGGGCACGTGACTCGCAGGAGGGGGCTCGGAGCAGAAAACACGTGGCAGAACCAGATGGGCAAATCGGGCGGGCAGACCCACACCGGGTGTGTCGGGCAGGCGCACCAAGGCGGCCAGGTCGAGCAGGCGGCTGCTGAAGCGTGCGTCCCATCATGGATCGCGAGGAAATCTCGAGCAACAGCGCGATTCCCAAGTGCATCGTGGAAACAACCAGAGCGAGAGCGTGATTCCTGGGTGTCGAGGGCGCGGCGTCTGAAGGAGTCTCAGGATGCTGACATTGAGAAAGGAGGAAGAGGTAAGGCGAGGGGTCGGAGGCCTGGAGGCGAGGGGGTAGCAGTGGGGGGTCCAATCCAAGGCGCCTGGGAACTGAGCTCTGAATCTCTACGAAGCGTGGTGGGCCAGAACCGGCAGCGCGGCACCCTAACCAAAAGTTCCCGACCGTACCTTCACTTGGAAACTTTCAGCACCCTACCTCTGGACTCTGGAGCGGGGACAGAGAAAGCCACCTTGCGCAGGCAGCCGCTGATGCCGATCAGCTCGCAACCGTTCGGACGTCCGTTCCCCGTGCTCGATTCAGTGTGTCGTGCGTGTTTTTTCCTCTCCCAGGATGATCCAGGATGCCCCCCGACGGTCCTCGCCCAGAAAAATGCACACGTCCGAGAGATGACAAGTCAAGCACCGGCTGACGACTTCGACCCCCACCCTGCAGCCGGCGACCTGCAGGCCCCGGGGGTCCCGAACGTGGGGTCCCGAGGCCGCAGCCGAGGAGCAGAGGCCGCGGCACCAGCGGAGCCGGGATCGCAGGAGGCCTTGGGCTCACCCTCGCGCCCCTGCGGGGTACCCATCTGCCCACCTCAACCCCCCACGCCGCACAGAGGCTTCTGCGCGCCCCTCCTCCTCCTCCTCCTCCTCCTCCTCCTCCTCCTCCTCCTCTTCCTCCTCCTCCTCCTCCTCCTCCTCCTCCTCCTCCTCCTCCTGTTCCTCCTGTTCCTCCACCTCCTCCTGTTTCTCCTCCTGTTCCTCCACCTCCTCCTGTTCCTCCTCCTCCTTCTCCTCCTCCTCCTCCGCGCAAGTGTGAAGATCGCCGGTGATCTGGGATCTGCCAGATCCGTCGGGACCCTACAACCGCGCGGTGGCGGAGCGCGCTGGGATCTCGGAATCCCCGACGACCTCACCGCCACCGCACGGTTTTGAGACCTCGGGGGCCCCCGACGTTCGTGACATCCGCGGGCAACGACCCAAGTCCAACAACCGCGTGGTGACCCCGAATCCCCACCGACTCACCACGCGGCGTGGTCACCACTCCCGCCGTTGGGGGACCCCCGAGACCCCGCTGGGGACTTGGGATCACCTCCGCGCCCCTGCCGGGAGGGGGGTCTGCAGCCCCCCCCCCCTTCGCAAGCGCAACCCGCACACCGCCCTGTGCACCC